TGAGGCGGTGCTGAAACCCAGCGGGAAGGTTTTGCAGGTCTCCATTGGACCGGGTCTCCCTAAAAATTCCAGTAAGCTTAAACAGAGTTTGTTGAGGCATCTGTGGCCGAACTGTGTTTGCTTTACTTGCCGTTCTGTGTCTGATCTCCAGGGCCGACCAGGAAAGACAAGCGCAAGAGCCGGTACGTGGGGAACCAGTCCACCCCCGCCAACCAGAACACCTCAGGTACCAGCAGGCTTTCTTCTGGACCCAGATCATCTTAAGATTTATTTTTCATCCTTTGTTGGTTTGCTCTTCCTCTAGTGTCTCACAGCAGGGGTGGCGGAGCACCTAGAGGCAACCCCCCCATCTCAAGAGGGTCCACTCTGAGGACTCAGTCCAGTATGGAGCAGCCCACCCTGCCTCGCCTCCACAACCAGAACCGTCCCGGTAACCAGCTTCCCCAGAACCAGGACATGGGCTTCATGAACGTCCCAGATCAGGGCGCTGCAGGGTGAGATGCCACTGGATCCAGCACTCTAATGTCAAAGGTCAAGTAATGATGCTTTTTTTGCCTCCCAGTGGTGACTTTAATCCCTCCTCCTTACTGCAGGCTCCACAGGCGCCTTTCAAAGGAGGTGAAACCAGTTCCAGGAGCGGGCCGACCCAAACCGAAGCCCCGGTCTCCTCAATGCAAAGCTCTGTACGCGTATGATGCCCAGGATACGGACGAGCTCAGCTTCAACACCGACGATGTCATAGAGATACTGACCGAAGGTACCGCTGATGCTCTGATAGCCTAGAATGACCGTAAAAACTTCAGAGATTAGCCTTGTGCCCAGGGTCCAAAATTAACACTCGCCACTCCCCAAAATGCAAGTTAATGCACTGTCTGCGGTCAGTTACAATTGGGAGAGGTGCAGCAGAGTGTCTGCGGAGGGGGCGGGGACGGCTTTTTGTTACCTGCGACACTTATGCAGAGGACCTGGTTTCGAAGTATAAATCGGCCTTTAATGCTAGAACACGATTAGCCACAAGGCTAGCAAATATTTGAACCACAGATGCGTTTCAGTCATGTCTTTTTAGCTTTAATGTTGGTAAGTCTCCCCTTTGTTCACTTGCTCCTCACACGCCAACTGACAAACGTACAGAAAGCACAATTCAATTCAGTTTATTTATATAGCGCCAAGACACAATACTGTCAATTACCAATAACTCTGCAGCTAGCTGGTTTAGTTGGAGCAACCAAGCCTTCTAAAAGGCAATATGCCGATGAGGAGTGAGGATCTACAGCCCCCAGGGCAAAGAGAAAGTTTGTTGAAAAATGGCACTTGTAGGAAGACTGTTTCATCTCATTTATGACTCTGCTAAGCTAATGAGCTGTTCAATATGCAGCAAATATGCAAAAGAGACAGAGAGACATCTAAAACCGCAGTTCTAGTATGGCAGGCCGTTTTGACATTTATTAGGTCTGTCCTCTCTGTTGTTCCATTTGTTGATCTGTAAAATAAGATTCTTCCTGGTCAAAACTACATTCCTAGCAGCTAATAATGTACATATAGGTGTCCTAAATTACATTTTTGCTTGCAAAAATTACATTTCAGGATGCCAGAAAGGATGCAGTGTGTATTATCCAACCGTGGTGTTTGTTTATGGACCCCTGGTTCTGGAGGAGCTGAAGAACTCTAATTGCCGTCTTCTTGTTTCTGCAGATCCATCAGGTTGGTGGTTTGGTCGGCTGCGGGGCAAAGAGGGAATGTTCCCTGGAAACTATGTGGAGAAGATCTAGATCTCCAAGTTTCAGGGACTCTGAGGTTCTGATCCTGCAGCTGTGGATCGGGTCAGAGGTCGCTGACAAAAAATTTAGATCCCTGGACACTTGAGAAACAAACAGATGCATGTTCCCTCAGTCATTCAGCCAGAGTTTTATCATCCTCGGAGGTCAGGGGTCGGTCCTGGTTCAGCCGGTTCCGGAGTATTCCTGGAAAAAGCCTCAGAGTCTGAATAAATGTTTCCGGCTCTCTGATCACCTCAGGTACTTTTAAAGGAGCGGTCCAATCAATGTTTACATCAGAATAACCACAGACCTACAGAGCTCAGGCCCCATTGTGTTTTTTTTTTTTTTTTTTTTTTATAAATCGTAAAATTATAACTACAGAAACTGCTCATCCAATGAGTTTACTTTTAAAAATTATTTTAAACGTAAACTGGTTCAGGATCAGTTTAGATCATTTTAGGAATCTAAACCAGTATTATTAATTTTTTCATTTTTTTTCCCCCTCGTTATCAAAACCACATTTATTGAGCTGGTATTTTAACAATTCATCATTACATTATTTTCAGCCTTTGATCCAGCTGAAGGCTTGTATCTCTATATAAACAAACCTCTTAGTACTACATTACCCAGAGTTCCTACAGGAAGAGGAGCTGCCTTCAAGTGTTGTTCGAAATTAGACTTCTGATCAATCCACGATTCTATACACTAATTCTTTCAAATTAGCTCTTATGGTCTAAATTAAACTTTTAAAAACTGTAAATGAATAAAATGCTGATTCTGTATTACAAACAAATAAAAATAATTTTTGAAAGCTGATGTACTCATCTGAAACTACAGCTACTGGACTGGGGAAATTATTTCACCTCATGTACTGTTTGGGTGTAAGTACGGCTCTGAGCAGTCATATCTAACCCCTGGATGCTGCCTGCTGGAGAAGCTATGGCTCCTTCTGAATATATCGAATTTTTCCTTTCCAGGGTAGGAAGGGAAACCTGACTACTGCGCTGAACCTGGACAGTTATTGTGCAAAAGACATGCGCATGGATGATGCTGGTCAAATCGTGGAGCAGCCTTCTGGGAAATGACTACAAAAATCAAAAGTTACACAGATTTAGGGAATGGCTGAAAGTCGTCTTTACAAAAACCGAAACAGTTTGAAGATGTGTGCATCAGCATGTGTCCCACAGCCTGGCGCCCCCTTTTGAGCACCGTTATGTTCAAGCTGCTGCTGCTTAAATAAAATAAACCTGTTAATTGCTTTTATAGTTAAAAGCAGGATGTAACAAACAGGCTGCTGCTTCTGAACAAAAAAACCCTCAGTAACGTCTCTCAGGCAGCAGTTTCCATCGTCTCTTCCCTGTCAAGTGAATTTAAACCCTCATCTTTGTCTAACAGGAATGGTTTGGTTCCTTTTGAATGCAAACGTTTCTGATTCCTTGTTTCGATTCCAAGTCCTATCGATTAAGAATCATAAAATCGTAATAAATTAGTTCTATCTGGGTGAATTAGTCTGAACTTCTGGATGTAATTTAATTCCTTAAAACATCTAGTTTTGTGTGAACTTAACTAAAATTAGTATTTTCTACCAGAATATTAATATGCAAACTACTAACTCTAACAGTTTTATTTACATTTTCATAAACAGGGTTCCCACGGGTCCTTAAAAAGTCTTAAAAGAAATTGATTTCTTCAAAATAAAACTAAGGCCTTAATTGGTATTAAAATGTCTTAAATCAGTCTTTCGTAGGTCTTTTTAAAACTTCATAAAAAAGGAATATTTTTATCATGATTTATTTTTGTAATCTAAATAAAACATTAAAATTTACCTTTTTTTTTTTTTTATTTAATAAAAAAAAAAAATGGCTCGCCAGTATTGGTTCCGTCCCGATAGCGGAACCAATAAAAGCGTCCGGAACATTTGGGAGATGCTGCAAAAAAAGACTTAGCACTGGTTATGTTGTGGCTTTAAAACTGATTTGTTTTGTTCCCTGCTAAAGCAAAGTTTGTGAATTCAGTTAAATAATTGTTAAAATATTTCTGTCATTTCTGTGTTTTTAGCTTTCTTCCTGTATGGGAAGCTTTTCAAAATTTAAAGCATTAGTGCAGTGGTTTATGTTAGAATAAACCTTTGGGTTAAGTTGTTGCAAGCAGGTTTTTCTTGTGTTTCTTGTGAATTTGGTCTTAAATTTTTATTTCAAGTGGCATTAAAAAGTCTGGAATTTAACTTGCCTTATGCTGTAGGAACCCTGAACAAAGTAAAGGACAACTTGTATATTAAAGTTCCAGAAAATGTATGAAACTATATAAACCTTGAAGGTGCAAAACAAATATGAAAGTAGCAATGAGCCAATATACTTTGACTTTAGGTAAAATTCAGTCAAGGAAACAGTCTGAATCACGGCTCCTTCTATTTTACTACATCACTGGATTGAATACTGAGTACTTTATAATCCCGTCACTTGGTGTTCTCACTACTTTCCATTTATTTTAAAATTAGACTTTTGATCAAAAGTATTAATTTTGCACCTTGTTTTGGGAATAATCGATAAGTATATCTGGAAGATTAACCTTTAGTGTTTAAAACTTATTTAGTTTTATATGGATTCTGACTCGTATGATTATGTTTCATTTGATGTCATGATTAAACTCATTGGGTGAAGTGACTCCTGGTTTAAACTGTTTAAAGCAGCTCAGGGGAAAACTGAAAAAAAGGTTCCTGAGGAAGAGGATTGGGGCCACTGAAAAAAAAAAAAAAAGTTACCTGATTTTTAAGTTGTATTTGTTTAATGTGGGGAAAAAAGTCACAATTCTGACTTTCATTGGCCCTTTTTACATTTATGGATATAAAATTTGGCCAACAGAAGCAAAATATTACATAAAAAGAAATGGCCAGAGTCCTTTTCTATATTCTGTAATTCCACATAAAACATCCTTAAAATAAAGTTCAAATTTGTCATAAATATTGTCCAGAATGAAGCGATGAATACCTTCCTATAGCTGCCTGTAGGACTCAGAGTAACAAAGTGCAGTTAAATCATCCAAAATGATTTAACTGGATAACAGCTGTGAATAATCTTAAAGGAAATCTCTTTAACTTTGTTTACTAGAAAATACTTATTGACTAGAGACCATGTTTTGTTCCAACATACTTCTGAGACCAGACCTTAATTGACATAAGGAACTGAGATACAGGGGAAATTGTTTCTGTTTTCCGAGCTACCAGTGAATGCCTCCTCTTGACCTTTCACCCCGTTCCGTACCAACAGTCCCCTTCAGCTGCGGGCCGTTTACCCGCTTAGGTTCTGGCTCGGACGTGTTACCCGCTGAGCCCCCGGTACCCGCTAACGGTTCGGTTCGGTCCCTTTAACAGAACCGGAGCCAAACCGCCCAGAAGCTAACGGCTAGCTACCGCAGATGGAGGAGTTTCTGCGGGCCTGCCGGCGGACCTTGCAGGTACCGATAACCTCCAACATTCGGTCCAACTTAGTTAAAGCAGCCGACTGCAAATAATGGACAACAGCAACCGATTTGATCTCAATTTGATTTATTGCTATTTGATGGGATAAGCTAGCAAAAAAATAGCACCGTTATATGGCCATTTTTCAAAGTATATTTCCGGTCATCTTTTCAAATTAAGAGCATCGAAGAGTTACAAACAGCATGAATCTCTAGTTAAAGAATAATGTTCTCCCCTGCATGAGATTGTTTAAAGTGATACAATTAAAAAGTGTTTATTTTATCATTTTAATTCCATTTCATTTATCATTAGCACTGTCTCGTTTTCATTTATTTTCTCTTCATCAATTCTAGGTTGACACATCTATGCTTCACTCTCTCAACATCCGATTACTACCAGACCAGAAGAAGGGAAGAAATTACTTAAATAGATCTGGTCTGACATGAGGCAGATTTAGAGACATCAGATTGCCAGAGATCATTTCCTGATCTAAAGAAATTCAACAAAAGATGAAAAGCAAAGTCTTTGATAGCAGCATTACTCCACATGTTCATCAGAGACAAAGAACACAAAGGTTTAAATTACATTTAACACAAAATAAAACGATTCTCAAGATTTGAAGAAAAGTGTGACTTTATGTCTGGAGTAAATCTAGTAGAATATCAGATACAGAGCATCATACTTTACAGTAAAGCACGGTGGGGGTGGTGTGATGGTCTGGGACTGCTAAAGCTCTAAACAGACCTAACTAATCCTTCTGTTACCATGGAAACAAGTATGAGAAAGGAAAAAGGGGGCGATAAGTGACGAGTGCTCGTAATGGACCTGGAATCTAGTAAATTTGTTTCTACGTTCATTCCAGTTTTAAAGGAAAAGTCCTGTCAGAAATGAATAATCAATGGATCATCATCATTTAACCCTAAAACTAATATGTTCTCAGTGATTTAATGAATTTAGTGTTAATCAGTAAAAAATCATTTTCGTCATGATCACAGAGTCTGGGAGCGGCCATTTTTGCCCAAATATAGTAGCCCCTCCCTCCTGCCATCTTCCAGCAGTGACGTCACGGTGCGGTAAGCCTAGCGCCATTCTCCCCGCTTTCCAAGCTAAATCAATGGGAACTA